GTGTTACTGTTCTATTTTTAGACGATCGAAAACGTTTGTTCGTGGTCCCGACGGCGTATTTTTAACACGCGAACCGCCAACCGACGCCAACGTAGACACGAAAACGTTCTCGTGCGACAACATGCACCGGTGCGCGGATCGCCGGATTATACGGTACACGAGTTTCTCGTGGGCGGAGAAGAAAGCGCGAGTGCGCGCGAGATGAGCTCCAAGGTCGCCTTTGTATCTCCGTATTTATGGCGGGAAATTAATCGGTTTAATTTATTCGCAGCTGTATGATATCTATATATATACCGCGCGTTTTTTTTTTTTTTTGTAACCAGGGTGAACCGTATCATTTCATCGAACGGTGGTATCGAGAGACGCGTTAGAGCGGTGAAAATCCGAAACGAATATTTTGGATTTTCACTGCTGTAAATTATATAAAACGATACAATATAATAGTCGTATAATAAATAGTAGCAAATTATAAATATGACGCAAATTACGTGGGGATACTGAAGGAGATAGGGGAGTTGTGAGAAATCGTTAAAAACGAAATTTTCTCCTATGAATATATAACTTGAAAAAAAAATACCGTCTACAAAATAAAGTGTATAAACATTTAAAAGCTTGATACTGAAAACATGAAGATTATATTCTAATGTAAGACGAACCGAGGGATGTCGAAAATAGATTTTAAAATCGTCCAAATGGATAAGGGGGAGTTTCGAAATAGGAATAATTATTTTTAAAAGATAAATTACAATGCATTTATACATTATGATGAAATAGTTTGATCAAAATGAGATGCTTTTATTGTGCTACACATATCAATTATACTTGTACCAATTCAGTATCATTGTTTTGTAGGGTATACGATTAATGATGTCATATAATTTTTATTCGCCGATTGTTTATCGTACCTACAGTAAAATCGAGTAATTTTTCACCTTTAGGACCGGTTAGAAATTTGATCGAAATACTTACCCTGAACGTCTGCGATTGTTTTTAGAACATTTGTTCAATTTACAGTTCGGATGTCGTATAAAAGCAGGTCAAGTCCATTTAAACGAGTTTAACGACCTTATAAAAATTACTTTAACCGGGAACGTTTGGCCTCTAATGCAAATCCAATTATTACTTTTCTTGGTTGGGAATAACATTGTCATTTTCAAACCAGTTGGTTGCTTAAGCTGATCTAGGTATAATCAGTTATAATTAATGAAACAATTAGATTTTCTCGGAGTAAAATCGTTATTGCTGCACTAAATCAACTAATACACATATCAGTGACGGATTCCAATACTGTCATTGGAAACAACTTGGTATAATATAAATATACAATAATGATCCACCTCTGTGTATGAACTAAATATACGCACTAAATGTGTCATATTATTTGAATATTATTTCGTTTATTGTATGAATTTATTTAAAAAAAAATAACCTTTGTTTGTTGTTTATTTTCGTTGGACACGTGCACCGAATTAACATTCGGTTTACCGATGCGAATAGACAATTATTTCGTTTGCATTTCCTTAGAATGTAGGCGTGGATCTTAACGTTACGTTTGAAACATTTATATTAATTAAAGTAAGTATATCTGGACAGTCAATTTTGGAGTTTAGTATGTTATAAACCCAGCGTACGTCATTAAACTATCTTCTGAATTCCAAACTATCAATATCAAATTTTAAAGCTAATGAATGCAAGGTTAGTTCAAAGTTGTTAGTTTTATAAGCCAGCATATGTAAAAATCGATTTTGGATTCGTTCTAATTTAAAAGATACTCTTGATGAGGGCTCCAGATTGTCGAACCGTATTCCAAAGTCGACCGTACTAGAGAGAAATATAAAACACGTAGGGCAAATTGGATCATGAAACTCCCAGTAATTCCGAGTACACGAAAGGCTTTATTATGAATTTCATTGAAATGTTTGATAAATGTAAGGTCATTAGAAAAAATGATACCCAAATCTCTAATATTAGATACAATATAAAGATTTTTGTCATATTAGGTTTCGTTTTATTTTTACACGCTGCGTACGCACGCTGTTTCGCTTGTAATTGTTCGAATTATCTTTGAATATCCAAAACGTCCTTAATTGCTGCTATATTCACACTTGAATTAAGTATGTTTCCTCCCTCCTCCGCCCGGAATTACAGCGGGTGGAGAAATCTGAAGTCTTATACAAATCAGCTTACAGGAAACACCTGGCTACTGTAGAGGCATTATCCAACGATATAATATGAAATCGTTTCATCCGGTCCGAAGAATAATAGTAAAAAACTGCTCGTTTAACGAAAGCTTAAAAGAGGTTTTATGCATGCGATCATTAGGGTTGCACTTAGCGTATAATTTTTTTTTTCCTGTCAGAGTCCATTATAAACTTCTATTCATACACGTCGTTTTAATCAGCTTTTCATATTTTAATCTAGTCATGACATTTTGACGCGCGTTCTATCATTTGCGGTACGCCCACGCACACTCAGACTACAAAATGCGTGCGTTCTTGGCTCGGCGACAACGGCTCCAAACATAAACACTGCTACGGAGTAGTGGAACACATATACATAGGTTTTTCGTATACAGTATATTATACACTTTCCGGTTTTAAGTAAATAAATAAACATTTGCCTAACAGTCATCCTATCATTCTACACTTCCATAGCTACAGTTTTACGTACTGTTATTGTTTAAAGAATGTATTAAAAATGGTTTATTTTTTAAATACTCTCGTGGCACGAACCATAATCTACAAGGTGTCCCATAAAGATTTAACCATTATGATATTTCCGGAGAAAATTAAAATAATCTAATTCTGTTTTCTTTAAACGATTCACTGGGATAAGGATTGTACGTACCTGCACATAATATTAAAATGTTCATGTTTTGGTGAACAATTTAAAAAATATAACTGTTAAGTTTATTATTTTCAAAAATTTTAAAGAACAGATTTTGATTATATTTATCGTTGTAATGGCTATATCTCCGTGGAATACTCTATATACTGTGTATTACCTGGAATCTATGAAAATTTTTTTGTTTGACTATGTTTTTATTTGTGTAGAGAACCGTTGTACAATACGTATCTAAAAGGACGGAAATGTTACAAGAGTTCCACTGTTTAAACTTCCATTGTTGCATCCTTTTAATGTTTATCTAAGGACCGGTTGGTAGGTAAATAGTGTAATGTGTGAGGGCAATAGAATATCGAGATAGTTATTCAGTGCGTTATATCTTTTCGGTGTCGTAGGATTTCATCGTGACCTTGCACCAATGCGCCACCATATTTAGTACGACGCATGCCTGTTATTAAATGACTGCCGATTTTAAGACAAGTAATTAGCGTTATCATTTTCTTCTATATCCATAAGAGAAAAAATGTTTAGTTATGATTATAATTTCCTAATTTATCCTTGACCGTTATTATAAATGCGTGGAATAACGAATTATTTTATTATGACAATATTAAGCACTTAGCAAAACTGTGTTCCCATGTCATTAACTGTTCAATAGAAGTACGTTATATATATATAATTATATTATATATTTTGTACTCAAATTTAAAACTAAACACACAATTGATAAGCAAACAAAAATATTCTTGTATATGAAATTATTTAATAACAATCGTAATAATAATAATATATCAATAATCAGTGGCGTAGCCAGGATTTTTAAATAAGGGGGGGAGCTAACAACTTTTTTTGGATAAGTAAGGTAAGAGGGGATATGAGAATTCACCCTTAACCCCCCCACCATCTACCACCAAGTTTCTAAACGCATTTTAGTAGTAGCATTTTAGTATAGTTTTAAAAATATTTATTAATATATAATTTATAATAATAATAATAATTTTGGTTTCAGTGTTCAGTCACTTGCTCCACTCTGACAGCTGCATTCTCTTAGGCGAATTTCTGGCAAATTCAGTTATTATTTCACTTTCATGGAATTGCTCTTTTTTATTTATATTAGCCATAGCTAATCCATTCAGTCTGTTTTCCGACATGGTGCTTCTTAAGAAAATTTTTAAGCAATTAAGTGCTGAAAACGTTCTTTCCGGAGTGAAAGAGGTAACTGGTAACGTGGCGAATAATTGTAAAAGTATTTTAATGTTAGGTCGAAGATTGGTGCGATGAGAGAGTGAATCAAGAGCAGAATTCGGTTTTGGAATAGTATTTTGACTCCATTGTTGCCTCCATATGAACAGGTCAGCCCTGATTGTAGATGAGGTATCATCATGGAGATCTTGGATATATATTTTAGCAGCTTTTATAATATTTTTATCGTCATACATATTTAAATTGACCGGAATAAGTCCTTCAAGTGGCATAACATCAATAAGCCTTTGATTAAAACGACCATTGATTCTATTAAATAGTCAAGATATACATAGTCATTATATATATATATATAGTCATTATACATATAAACACGGCCCATGGGGGAGGCTATAGCCCCCTTAGCCCCCCCCTTGGCTACGCCACTGTCAATAATGGTATATAATTATGGTTTATAGGCATGTTTTTTAACAATTTGCATTGATTAGGTTTCTCTTATTTGTATTGTACAGCGTTAAATCAACAATGGATGTATTTTTTTTAAGTCTGGAAACTAAAATGATATCCCAAATTCTATATTAAGATTACTTATACTTGATTTATATATTAGATATAAACCGTTTTATAATGTTAAAAATCATAAGAGCATTGTATTGCCCACTTTTTTTTTTCGATTTCGTTTATATTTTCAGAGCTATTGTTAGAACTGTTCAAATTCATAGATTATCTACCATGTAAGAAAACTATGTATTATTTTAATTTCTATTTGGGAGAATCGTACAATACACTACACTGTATGGAACTCTTTGTATAGTAAAAACATTTATAATAATTAAATTATTATTGCTGTAGGTTGCAAAAATAATTATTGTGATCGCATATTTTTTTGTTTTGTTCGCTATATCCGTTTGTGGCGCTTCGATATTAATTTCATATTTTTTTACCCCCTATAGATATTCGCCTTCAGCTCAACGAACATTTACGATGCCTGGACAGCCGGGTCGAAGCACAAGTATCACTGGTATCCGAACTTCAAGATTATTTCAGAAGACGAGCAGAGGTAGAAATGGATTACAGCAAGAGCCTGGATAAACTTGCTAAAAGCTTACAACTGCGCCACAAAGAACAAAAACAAAAGTGAGTGCATCACAGAAATAATTATATTATATTTATACGGGTTTGTAGTTATTTTGAAAGAAATATTGTTACATACCTACCAAGACAAGTGTTTTTTTATACTTCGATAACTTTCGATATTTTTGATCAATAACAGTTTTTCTTGTAACTACAATGTCATGATCGTTTATATACCTATAAGTATTATTTTTTAAGTTTTAATTTAATAATACACAATCAAGAATTCATTTAAAAACTAGTTCATATCATTTTGAGCCGTGTAGTTACATAATAATTGTTACCAACAATGTTTTAAATTCTTCATCATAATACTATTTATATAGTTAATATCACTTTATAAATTCAGTATTCTGTCTTGTAGGCCCACGCCCTATAGCTTCATTGAAAATTCTAATTTAAACACGTGGAAAAGAAATTTATACGTGTCTCTATAGTATAATTAAGTGTGTTGTCCTATTGAAAAATTACCATCTATTTCAGATTTAGTATTGTTTACTATATCCGTAAATAAAAATAAAACACATTCTTTTGGCTAAGTGTGTATCCTGTGTGCTTACACGTTAACAGGAAGGAATATAAATTAGTATTTTAAATATTCTATTTAAAAACCTGCATGTGTGACATTGTTAACTTTGTGTGTATACCTAGGAGAGAGCAGTGGTCGCTGTTTACTAGCTATTCATGTTGGCAGCAACTGGTGTTACAAACGAAAAATCTCAGTAAAGATCATGGAGCTCTCAGTGAACTTTATTCCACCCATCTAGTCAGCAGATTGTCTCAGGTTACTGAAGATGTACAGAGGATTTATAAACGAGTAAATGAAGATTATTTTTTCGATTACCTAATAGTATATTATTACTATAATAATGTTATGATAATGTCTTAGTGCCGGGAGATTTGTTACGAAATCCACGAGGAGATATTACGGGTTCTTCATGAATTGCATACTACCATGAAGACATATCAGTCGTATCAAGCTGAAGCTAAACAAGCAGAAGCTAAGCTGAAGGTCGCTGAAAATCAAAGACTGAAAATTGAGCTGGCAGTTCCTAAAGAAAAACTTGATAAGTCTAAAAAAGTTAGGCTTATCGGGAAAGAAGTTCAAAAAGTAATTTTTTTTTTCGTTTTATTCTTATTTAAATTGCATTTTAAATGTTTTACTATCAATTTTACAGAGAAAGAACAAATATTTCGATGCTAAACTAAAAGCATTAAAAGCACGCAACGAGTATCTTTTGTGTTTAGAAGCAACCAATAGTACAGTTCACAAATACTTTGTTGATGACTTATCCGATCTAATGGACTGTATGGATTTCGGATTTCACCATTGCGTGACAAAAGCTTTAAAAATGCAAACATCTGCCGAAGAGGGCCGTATTCGTTCTATGCAAGCTGGTTTAGACGCTACTAATCTGATTGTTTCAGCTATGGACTCGGGCGTAGACAAACAACGGTTTTTAGAATTTAATCATACCGCATTCATGATACCAAAAAAATTTGAATTTCAAGGGCAAAAAGATGAGGTATATATTTTTTGTCTAATATATATATATATAAATATATAAACGTGAGACTGATAAATCTATGATATATAAATATATTCAAACTTTTTAGTATGCAGAACCAGAATTGCAAAAATTGTTGTGCGCTGATATGGAAACAAGGTTAGAACAGTTAAATCAAAGAGTAACCAGCCTGCACACGGAGTCAGACGAGGTGTGGAAAACATTAGCTACTGCTGAAAAAACTCTTTTGGAAATGCTCACTGCTAATGATTACGATTGCAGTAATTATTTTGGTGAAAAAGCTATCCCGACCAGCAAACCACCAGAAACCATTAGCATAAAACTGCGAGCAGACAAACATGAGACTGAAGAATTTTATCTTACCGTGAGTATGGTACCGTGTTCCTCTTGTACATTACTAAAATAGGTATATTTAAATATCCGGATATTATTTTGACTGTGTAAATAGTAAATAATAAATACATGTGTAATAATGACAAGTATATTTATTTTCCGTTGTGACATTTTTAAGTAATTATTTTTTACGCATATGGTTAATCTCCTTTACATGTGAAAGATTTATTAATATTCTCCTTTTTGTTGTTTGTTTTAGAAGTTGCGCGATTATCTCATGAGAACGAGTAGAATTGTACGTCTAGATTCCAAACAGCAACATATAAATGAAACGCTAACATCGATATGCAAACGCCCCCAAAATGGCAACGTCGAATTGACGCCTGCTAAGCAGACACCTCAACGACCAATACATAAGCCGATCGTTAGAAGAAAAAGAATCGGTAGGCTACAGATGAACGGTCAACCGAAATTGTTTGGGGGATCTTTGGAAGAATATCTAGACGCAACCAATCAAGAAATACCGCTGATAATTAAGAGTTGCATTCGAGTGATTAATTTGTTTGGTAAGGGTCTTATCGCAATATAACCCATATGGTTTTTACATTTAAATCTTGTAGATCTTTTTTAAATCAATTAAATCACCTATATAAATTTTTACTTAACAGGTCTCCATCATCAGGGAATTTTTAGAGTGTCTGGATCGCAAGTGGAAATCAACAATTTCAAAGACGCTTTTGAAAGAGGTGAAGATCCACTTGCTGATATGACAGATGCTTCAGATATTAACTCCGTTGCTGGAGTTTTGAAATTATACTTACGTGAACTCCGAGAACCTTTATTCCCGATTATTTATTTCGATCAATTTATGGAATTAGCTCGTGAGTAGTAAAAAGTCATGTTGAAGTGTGCGAAAAATAATATTAGAAAATTCGCAAAAAAAAGCATACGAAATAATTAACATGGCTTAAAAGTGTTTGAAATAATATATGTTGTTCATTGTACCCTGTATTGGTCATTATTCATTTCATTTATTTTATTTGATGTGTAATAAATAAATATAATTTATAAATGTTAAAATCTATTAAAATCTAGAACCTTGGGACCTCATATTATCTGAAGAAAAATACGTTATTTGAACAATTATAATGACATTTTCGATATTCTATATTGAAACTAAAACTCTAGGTAATTTATTTAAGTGAATATAATGTGAGCTAAAAACGCGTAGGCAATATTTGGATACGAGAACTTGATTTTTCTATGGTCCACGTGGGACGGTAATGGACAAAATAAATTATGGACGTTATTTTGTGTTTAAATAAATACAACTATCACGAACAATTATTATTTAAAAATTAAATTTAGAATGTTATTTTCGCATACACCATATGATTAACATATTATTTGTTTGTGTGTTACGCTTATTCATACCGCTGACATTTATTTAGAACTCGAGTCACGTCATCAATTCGTTTTAAGAATGAAAGAACTCGTTCAAAGCTTTCCAAATCAAGTTGTTGTGATGTTGAGATATTTGTTCGCGTTCCTCAACCAGTAAGTATTTGTACGAAGATAATACCAAAAAGGTATTTTTAACTAAAAATATGTATACCATTTCAGTTTATCGGAATTCAGTGACGAGAATATGATGGACGTTTATAATCTTGCTATTTGTTTCGGTCCCACATTAATACCGGTTCCCGAAGAGAAAGATCAAGTCCAGTATCAGAATCTTGTCAACGATCTCATAAAAAATATTATTCTTTTCCACGAAGATATATTCCCGTCGTCGTTGGACATCGGTGGGCTTGTATACGAAAAATACATATCTCGTGAGCCCGATGATGTGGACGTGGGTGATTCACCTTCCGATCACGCTCAAGAGGATATCGACTCTGAGGTTTACCCGTCAGAAGATGGTACGTTGTGGTTTAGGTATCAACCTCATTGTTAGCCGAAAAAAACAATCGGTGGAAAAAAAATAATAATAAAACAAAATTGTGTTTTATTGATTACAACAGACCGAGACCAAATATAATGAGATAAAATAACATTCTATGTAATCAAAAAACTAACAAAGCATAAAAATCTAACGCCAGACTTTAGCGTAAATGGTTTGAAATTTGAAATTATGACTCAATAAAACTGCGTTTTAAACATATTTGGTACCATCTGATAGTTAGAATATTATAGAAAATATTCAAAATAATACACATTCTCGGTCAATACATCTTTAATGAGTATTATTTTGGTTTAAAACAATGAGATAATCATAAAAACTGAACATTATTAATTACGGAGTAAGCCTGCACTGGTGTGTTAATTTTATACTATATCTTTCATATATATATATAATTGCAAAATATGTAATTTTAAAACCATAGAAAATTGAAAAAGATCTTATTAAATGTTTGAAAAATTATTACTCGAATTATCTAATCATTAAAAATAATATTATTGGCAAAGACTTTTGTTTTGATTTCTTCTGGCTGTCAACTATTTCTGATTTGAATCAGACTTATAAAATTCAAATTTTTTTTTTTAATTTTCAATCCACTTTTTATTGGCTAAAAATGTATAACAATATTTAATAATTTAATAATTTTTAATAATAGATTGAGCTAAGTGAAATTAAATAAAAACATTCTGTATTATATCAAACAATGGAATTGGTATATGAGTACTTTTAAAACCACTTATAATGATTTATTTAATAATGTTCATATAAGTTTTTCAGTGTGAAATATTATTTTGGTACTTATGATTTATCAATATTTTTAAATTTTACTTGTATTATAAATATACATAAAATCCGTGTAATTTTAACTATTTTTTATGAAGTCACACTGTTTTTTCATTTAGTAAAATATCAAAATAATTTGAAACTATTATACTAATTTAATTTGTTTGCAATTTTAAGCATAATATTTTTATTTTTATTTTTTTTGTCAGAGAATTTGCTTTAGAACAACGGTTCTTAACCTATGATCCGTGGCCCTCTAGTGGTCCGCGATACTCATGTCGGGGTTCACGACAACCTTAAACGCAACATACGTCAATACATGACACGAGTACAATATTACAATATTGTTGAATTATTATTATTTTGTTTTTCATATATTTTTTATCATATAATAAACAGATCTTATCTTTATACGATGATCAAAAACTCATGTCTCAAGTATAACACCAACCATGGCATTAAGTAAATAAAAATTAAATTTTAAGAATATTAAAAAAAAACATTAAAACTTATATTATTGAATTAAAATTAACTGAAAAATTAAGTTTAATAAAAATAATTATAAATATTTATGTTTTGTTATGTCTACTAATGTAATTTATTATATAAAAATAATTATTATAATTTTGGTTTTGATAACATTAGATGTTTTGTAAAAAAAAATTTATAAGGGAATCCGCAAATTCTAAAAATCTTTTATCAGGGGTCCATGATCTACAATAGATTAAGAACCACTGCTTTAGAATATTAATGTTAAAAATAATTGAATGTACTATTTTATGTTTTTATTTTAGGTTTTTAACTATGTAATTATAAATTATTTTTTGTTAGTCTATTATTTCAAATGAAGAACACTTTTTTTTTCACAGAATGTGAAAGTCTGGAAGCTACCGCACAGTACGATTTTGTTGCTCGATCTGAACGTGAATTAAGTTTCAAAAAAGGTGCAACTATTACTCTTCATACCCAAGTTTCCGGAGATTGGTGGCGAGGGAATGTTAATGGCCGAGAAGGTCTCATACCAGACAAATATATTCTTCTTAAAATCAGGTAAATCTCCCAATAGAATCTTTATTTTTCAACCATCTGAAATTTAAACTGTATTCAAAAAAACTTTGTCAATATAGATATATAAGATATATCATACTTAATTTACTTTACTAAAGGAATTGATTGATTTTTTAGTCTAGCAATATAATCATTTTGAGTTATGTATAAATTTTAAAACAAATCGAGTAGCAATAGTTTCTTTAATTTTTAGTCTCTTTAAAATCTAAGCAACCAAAGTGTACATTTTTCAATTTTGTATTCGCTTAATCGTTAATCTTAAAGTTCGGCGTTTGGTTGAATTATGATTTTAATCGCATTAAAGTCTTTTGACAAATACTATATAAAAATAATTGATTTCAAGTTGAATAATATTAAACTGTTTATATATAATATGTACATACACATAAATAGCAATGAGAATAAATGCTGGCGTCATCCGTTTTATATAATAAAATAATGTCCTTTTTGAACTACATATGTATGTTTTGATATGAATTTTTAATGAAACAATGTGATTGTTAAACAATCGTTGGTTAAAGTTACAGACTAACAAAATTCATCGTAGTATTCAATGAGAATTTTTGAGTGTCATATAGTTATTTGTAAAATGGTATTGATCGTAACATAGTTGATTTCGAACGGACATTGCACCGCGTCAAAATCGAAATAAAAACAGATATGTTTAACTATTCGGTTTAACAACGTTTAATCCGTCGAAAATATCATGTTATGAAATCCGTAGCAGACAGGTTCAGGTATAACATTTGATATTCTGTCGTTGACCGGTCATTCGTCACTTTTGACGTTGTACTGCAAATATACTGAAAAATAGTACACCTGATACGGTTCCAAGATCACGTATTGCTTTTGTATTGATTCGCTATAGGTTTTTTTTCAATTATATTAACAATAATAACACATATACTCGTATATATTTGCGTTAAAAAATTTCATTCTTTCACATTGAATATTCGTATTGTTCTGCGGCAGGGACGAAGAACGCGAAAAAGCGGCCGAACTGTGCGCCAAGTCCATCACATCCTCGGACGACTCGACCAGGCGACGGACGTCCAGTTCAAACGATTCGGTGCTCTCAGAGTCCGCGGCTTCCGGTTACTCGTCGCCACCGCTGGCCGACGTACCGTGGCCACCGAACTCCACGGGCACCGCCGAAAGGAACTCCATGTCGTTGTCGCATCACCGCGACGTAGCCGAGGCGCCCACTCACGAGGTACTTGAGACCACCGTCTGAGTTAAATATATAGTAATTTTTGTATCAGAATATATTATAGATATTATTATTATCATTATTATTATTATTATTATTATTATTATTTTAATCTTACTGATTTTTATTTTTTTTTTTATTTCGTAGTTTGAAAAAAGTTTTTAGTTTAACTTTTTTTTTTTAATTTTTTTTTTTACTTCGTGTTTTTTCTATAATTTTTTTCTTCTGCATCCTGTGTACTTTTTTGTAGTGTAATATTTTATAAAATCTTTTTGTGTGTTTTACATAAACACAGACTGTTGCTCGTATGTATTGTGTACTGTGCGTGTACACATTTATTTTTAGATAAACTATATTTTGCGTGTGCGTGTACATTTGCATTTTATTGTACGTCAATAAAGTTCTCGTCGAGAGTAACGCTGTTTTTTTACTGTTAATTAATATTTTATTTTGTTTTATCAAGCATGATTCTATTTTAAAACTTATTTTCACCGTCATCATTTTGATGTATAAAAATGTAATCTTTACGTTGTTCGCGATAAGCTTTGAATCTGCTCTCATGAGCTTTGCATTTTTACGAGAATCCTACTTTTTGCTAGTCCCCGCTTTTAAAATAAAAAACAAAAAAAACAGAAATTATCTTTCGAATAATATTATAACCCTTAAAACGTATACTAGTGTAGAAAATTGTTCATTTACTTTCTATCTAAACAGCATACCTATATACGTGCTAGTTGTATTATTATAATTTTTTTCCATGTAATTATATTATTAGATACCTCTAATAAGTTGTATTTAATTTTACCAGTACGATTTTTTTTTTATATATATATATATATATATATTAACGATTTCAACAATGTAATATATTTAATTACTGCTGATGATTGTATATCGAATCTTCGTATAGTTACAATAAATTTATTTTATATTATTGTACTACGCGAAACTATGAAAATGTATTGTAAACTGCATGTACAAAGTCTATGCGAAATATATATTTTATAATATATAAATATAATAATAATATATATTTATATTTTATTTGTAAACATTTTTATTTTTATTTATTTTTTCATTATTAAACGATCCATCAATATTTTATAAAACTATTGGATCCTTATATTTACCGGAACGTTCACGTTCTCGGTCTCGCCGGTTGTATTTTCGTTTGAACTCGATACCGCACTTACCGGATCTGGTACAAACGAATTAGAAGAATAAAGTGGACATTTCTTCATAGAAGAAGCGACGATTGTACCAAGAGACTGACAACATTCTTCGGAGACTGCACGTCGCACCTACGCAATGAAAATCGATAGACCAAGCGATATCGTAACGCTTAGAAAAATTGCGACCAGTCCGACAGTATGTTTAACTCGTCGTTTGCCAATAATCGCCACCTTATAAATCGAATATTATTTATATTATTTTTCATGGATAAAAACTGAACATGAACAAAGCGATGCATATCAAAGTACAACACTTCTAAGTACATAATTATCATGAAATAACTCGCGCACACTTGAAGATTTATAAAATTAAATCATAAATAATACCCAATAACTTTTTTGCGGAACACCAAGATTCTGTCGTTGACCATTGGTTAGGTTTCACGGTACACAAGGTGTCCGCGGGTTTGAAGCAAACGACGGCGGACTATTGTTTAACTGGAAGAAACCGTTTATGCGATTCTCGGAGCCATAAAACGCAAACGGAGGGTAAAAATAACAATTGTTTTCACAAGCGACCTATGAGGGCAGCGATGGTAAGGGATGATAGGGTGACGGTATCGTGATCAACTCATCTGGCGGAATGCGAAATCACATGCGAAGAAACGGTCGACAATAATGAACATCGATTACGTGTGGTGTTTGTTTGTACAGGACATGTTGTTCATCTCTCCCACGGTTTCACTGATATTATTAATCTAGGAGCACACGATCAAATCGCATTATAGACGTGTATGCCGGTGGTAAATTATTTACACCTTCTAAGTGTCACCGCCAAAATGGTATTTTTGGTTGGCTGAAAAGTCTTTCTCTCTCGGGTCGTCTGTGGCACGCGCATAAACTTTGCACTACGATTTCGTCTCATGGCTTATGCAATATTGTCAAAACTTTCGCGTCTCGCAGCTGTAGTTGGGTTCCGTGACGTTCGGACAGCATTACGTTATTTATATAGGGAACGACGACAAGTAATTGTCGTAATAATGTACGAGTACATTACTTTTTTATCACAGCGACTTTAAAACATTCCACGACATATTGTTGTTCTCTCTCTCTCTCTCTCTCTCTCTCTCTTTCTCTCCTTCTTTCTCTCTCCGTACATTATCACATCGTCGGTGTATTTATTTCGAAGCAAAACCTTGTAACGTATACCATGTAGACCAGTGGTTCCAAATAAATGGTCCGCGGTTATGCTCAAAGTAAAAATTGCCAAGCATGCAGTCTAACTTGGACGAGATTATGAACAGAAAATAAAAGTTTCTCTTTCGTACGTGCACTTGACAAAGAAGAGTGCTCTGTCCGATTCAAGTTTTTGCTAAGAGGTCATGACTTCTTAGTGATTGGAAACCACTGACGTAGATGTGGTGTATGCACAGGACGAGCAGCATCTGTGCGCGTCGGTGGCGACATCGCTAACCGTGAGAACCCGATGTAAGCGTCGCTACGGAGAACGCGACCCGGGACCGCACCCGCGGCAACGTGCGTGTTTGTTGATTTAAACTTTATTCCACCCCATTCTCCGGTTTCCGAGTACCGACTATTGTTGTAATACTAATTGGAAAACGTCAACAGCGTCAGTTCGTCGTTGCGACCTTTCGCTAAAACGTCACGTCTTAAAATTTAATGTATATAAATAAAATAATAACGATAGTATTCGTTAAAAAATCGGCAACAAGACACACACACGTGAGGTCGCCTCGTAATCGATTTTTCCATAGACACGCATTCCTGGAGCGTTGTTTTTTTTTCTTTTTCACAATCGGCTTCGAACGCTGAAACGGTTTACAACGTTTATACGATTGCAGTCCGTCGATTGACTCGCGAAACACCTATGCGCCCGCGGTTATACCTTATTGCGATCGTCTCGCACCATCGCCGTTACCGTGAGTCCGTATTAAAAACTATATAACCCCTTGACCACACGGTACGGTGTTAATAACGGTGTTCGGTAAAGCGCTGCGGCATAATGCGTTCGGTTTTCGTATACATCTGCTTGGCAAACACTTGTGCGCACTCCGTTTACGCTTGTTGCTCGTATGTTATTACTAAGCAGGGCCGCATTTAGGGGGGGGAGGCACTGGCTACAACTGTCCCGGACACCAGTTTTTTGGGGGCGCCAAAATTTTGTGGTCGGAAATTTGCTCACTTGTGAATTATTGAACTTTTAAAATTATTTTTAAATTATTATTTTTTTATTTTTAATTACGGTATCATAAATTAATGTTAATTTATATTATTAATGTATTTATAGCAATATAGCTATCAGCGATCCAGAATATTATGATATACCTAATATTAGTTCCCAATAAATAATGTCAATAAACATAAGTTATTTATAATAATACGGCGTATTATGTTATCGCATGCTGCGTGCGGTGGCATGCCTGCCACACAAAAATAGCATTGATTTTAGAATATCTAAAAGGTTCATAAGGATCTATCTCCTATATTTTCCGTGGGCAGGCCCCTTAGAGGGGCGCCAATTTTTTTTTTTTAGCACCGGGGCGCAAAATGTCTAAATACGGCACTACTACTAACAATCTGTTTCTCTTGAACCGTTGTCAATATTGCAGAACATGCGTTACGCGCGTGCGTCAATATGCCGACTCGTTATTGCTACAGCTGCGTGGGACTTATACACGTTCTGAATGTGTTAAATATGCTTTGAAAAAAAAAACGACTGGAACTCATAACCATAATAACAATTTTTTTTTTCTTTCTAACGTCATGATGTGAATTAAAATAAACGATTAGAATATAGTTTTTGGAGTCAAATATTGCAGTCGTTGGAAGAAATGTTTTTTTTCCCACAGCAGTTGATAACAGCGTACGCGTTTACCGCATGAATAACTGCGTGTTTTTCGATTTCTAAGTTTCTAAGTTCTCATTCGTGTAGCGATATATTCCATCGCATTTATACATCTTATGCATATTACACAAGAACGAAAACGAAATAAAAATACGCCGAATCACAAAATTTGCCTTTAAAACTTGAAATTATTGACATTTCTGGCGACCGCAAGTAGTAGTGTAGTTGTAGTGGAAGTAGTAGTAATAATAGTAGTAATAGCAGCAGTTGTAGTAGAATAAGCATGTGTTGGCATTTAAACGTTTGTACATCTTTAAACCCTTTGCGTGCTGTTTTGTCATTAGTTAAAAATGCCTGCATAACCGTTTGGTGCGTTGTGACTTACAGAACGGGTCTGGGGGTGCGTGTGTTTACCCATGCTCGTGTGTGTCGTTTTTCAGATGGGCAGTACAGACAGCCTGGACTCGGGCAAAGATTCGGTGGTGGACGAGCAATCTCCGCAGCACGTTGGTGGAGGAGAAAGCGGAGGACCAACAGCTTTCAAGTCAACGGCGACGGCATCAGAGGGACGTCGGCGGCCCAGGGACGCGGTCTGTTACAGGATTCCGTCGTCGCCTCCGCCAGTGGCGGCTCGCGAACATCACAACCGATCCAAGTCTGCCGATTGTGACGGCGGCAGTGAGGGTTCACGAAAGACGCACGCAAAGAGCCTGAGCGTGGGCGACGACTCATTCGACCACAAGATCCAACTGTGGCGCAAAAGAGCTGACTCGCATGGATCGATAGACCGGCCGAAACCGATGCCCGCCGCCCGACATCACGTCCAAAATGCCGACCTCAAGGTATCGGGTGGCGCGCCGGACTTAGTCATGGACTTGCCGGTCAGATCGTCGTCATCATCGTCGTCATCGTCGACGTCGTCTTCCGAGAGAATGCCGGGGGGTGCTGCGGGACAGGAGTTCCTGGGACCGTGCGGCGCGGCTGTCCAGGAACCGGACAGCCCGGACATGGGCACGGCCGCAGAGCGTTTTGCCAAGCAAAACCAATGTACGCTCAAGAAGTACAGCAAACCGATGCCGCTGCCTTCGCCCGCGCAGACTAACGGCAAGCCCGAACTGCCGCCCAAGTCGTCCGGCAAGCCACCGCTCAAGGCCAAGCCGCAGATATTCAAGAAGCCCATGTTTCTCGCCAGCGCCAAGGCCGCCAACGACGAAGCGACTTCTCGACCCTAGTAGTACCGTTTTTTTACCCGTTCATCCCCGATCCCCGTGGCGCTGCCTCCCCACCAGTATGTCTGCGAATCGCAGTCCCAGGCCAGGTCAATACGCGTTCAAGTCTCCCATCAGAAAAACCAACCATCCTCTTCCGATTTCTTATGAGTGCAAAACAATTTTCGGTCATGCTCGATTTTCCCTTGCACACTTGTGCATCTACACATAACGTGTAATTAAGTAGTGACTAATCTGGCCATGCGGCGTCCGTCATTTTGCACACGTACGTATTTCTAATACATCGTCGTGTGATTACCGATGCTGAAATCAGTCACTGCTGCGTTAGAAACCGTTTTCCACGTGTCGTCGAGTCAGTTCGACAGCCGAACGCGTTCATCTCGAAAACATTCTCGTCGCGACGTCGTGTACAACGGCCACTGCAACAGATATCTAACAACGTTCAGTGCCTCGTCGGTAATTGCTCGCACATGGACTGTTAAGTGACAACTCGCTTTAACGAGTTTTTGAATTTCGAGTGAATTGGGACTGGAGTAAAAATAAAATACGACCTTTGGTGCCGCGTTTCATCGTCAAACGTGTTTCCGTCTGACGGTCGTTCGTCTTCAAACTGTACTTCATAAATACGCCGTAATTAACATAACAACTCACAAAACCACAAAAATACAAGCGTCTAGTACATCATCCAAATGTGTATGCGATCTCTGTGCACTGTTGTCCCGATCTGAAAAATGTTAAATACTCTATATTTTAGAGATCTGCACGGGTCGTTTTTTTCCAGCCCGATCCAGCTCTAAATTAAACTTCAAAATGCTCCTACTCAATTCCGGTCCTTAATTTTTTTTTAAGTTCAATCCAACTAGGCTCAGTCCGTAATATTTTTTTTTGCTGTCCAACCCGCCCAGACCCGTTCGTAACTATATTTATACGCATATGAACTTTTTTTATATATTATATAATTGAACCTGATCTCATAAAAATATTAAATTATTCACACCAATATTACCGAAAAATACTATATACATACATCGTCCCACGATTTTAAGTCGTTTTTTCAACCGTCCCTTCCTGTCTTAACGTTCGTGTTGGAATCGCGGTCGAGAACACGCCGTCCAGATTTCTGGTCATCCATCTCTCCCCGAGAACGTTCCAATTTCAGTCGATTCAAACTGACCGAGTTAGAACCGTGGTATTTCCACGTCCTCGCGTGCGTCGCGACAATACCAGCGGTAGATTTGTCGGGCAATACACTGTGTGTATTAATAATGGCAGTCTCGACTGGATTATGAAAATAACGGAACAATTATCATCAATTATTTTTCTCGAATGTCATCGTGATGGATATATTTAAAACGTGGAGACCGAGAGTCAACAGAGCTCATGTTTCCGTATTACGAGTAACACTAAAATTCTATCGCGCACATTGCGAAACTGATTTTCCTAGAAATCTACGTCCCGAAAAGTTAAAATCCTTAGTTGAAAAATCTTAATCCCGCCACCGGATGAGACTAAAAGTATTTACATGACGAGTACATAGTATCATGTAGAAGTTGTCGTGTTGTACGCGGAACGAGGAGACTGATATGCCGTATATAACATAGTAGTATATATTTATTTGTATAATATATAGCGTGTGAGGTTTCGAACGCATTATTCATGTTATAACATTCCCGAGCTACACGCGTCTTTGTCTTTGCGGAACTACGCGTATTTTCACAGCGGTTTCTCGAGAAATCGTTCGTTTTCGTTTTTTACGTCTCCCGCCGGATCCGAACCGCTTTTTCCTTCAATCGTTATCTGTGCGGACCTCTTTCACGTGTAAGTACTTGTTTGTGTTTATGTCCTTGTGGAAGGGACGCCAACAGCGTTGCGCCATTATGTTACCGCTATTCTACGCGCGGTAGTTAGGATCTATTATTACAATATCTGTTCACACCCGTCTTGGTTATAATAATAAACGTAAAGCGTTACAAGAGGCACCGCATAACAACCTTTTATGTTTTTCTCCTTCATCTTCTATCGGTAAGCGTATCGATTATCTCTCGGCGTAGCGTATACACCACGTACGCGCGCACACTCCCAGATGGCACTTATTTTATATTTTATATTATATGCAGTGTACATTATAAACCGTCTTTGGGATGTGGAATTCATATTATCTACCATGTTGCATGTATTTCTCCTTCCGCGATTACTTATTGTTCAACAATAACAGTCGCAATCATAATGTACTTGTAATGAATCATTTCTTTAAATGTATACTTTCCGAAAATGTTTTGCGTGCCTATCATCGAAATTGTATTAGGTACTATTATTTTTATAATTGTTTTGATTCGTTGTAATTTTTTTATTATTAATATTATTATTATTATTATTAAAGACACCGTGTATTATGTCGATATTTTATACTGATGCTTTAGTCGGGTAACAATAAATTGTTTTCGCCCGCGAATCACGACATGTATACCGTCAACAATAACAGTGTCTAGCCGAAATGTATTTAACCATTTTGCTATTATTATTACTATTATCGTTACGAAAATCATTGTTTTGTACTCGCAAATGAATTTGTTATTTTTTTCACGTCGACAGGATGATGATACAACAATGAACGTTAACCGTATACAGTCTCGTCCTTTGCAAAAATTTATTTAAGAACAATGTGTATTATTTTATCCAAATCAGTATTTTTTTAAAATTAAAAAAAAAACAACGGTTATTATATATACATATGTATATATGTATTTTTATTATTATTATTATTGATATTATATATGTACGGTCCGCGTATAAGATTTTAAAAAAGAAATTAAGAAAAAAAAAATTTATTTTTTACGCCAAAAATAAAATAATACGTTTGATATTGTTGCGCCCCGAATGAGACTACCTACTGTGCATAACGTTTATTATAATATTTAGCAGGTAAATTATATTATTAATCCTTGGTTTCCGATCGTTTTGTTAAGATTTGTGTATTTTCGTTCCCAATCGAATTCGGTCGCTAAACGTGTCGTGTCATTCCCTATTTTTGTATACGCGACGTTCGGTGTGCGTTTTGTGTTTTTATTTTTCTTCCCTTCTTTTTGTGTACAACACCGATCGGCGATTGAACAAAAAATAAAAAATAAAAACGTGTCGATACAATCCGCGCGCGCGCACGAGCCCGATTAACACCGAATTACCATAGGCGGACTCGCCCGATGTAACGTGACAATATCGTTTCCCAGCGCGTTCACGAACGGAATAGCAATTAAGGTACGGTGTCCAATGCGCGACCGGTCGCCGCGACAGATAATTTGCCGTCGCGACCCGCGACAATAC